CTGGAGGTTCAAACCCACCAGCCACTCCTCAGAAGGAAGGTTGGCCAATCTACTTCCGTAGTGATACCACATCAGAAACCCAAGGAGGGGTCACTATGAGTTGGATCTGACTCAACGGCAGTGAGGTGTTTTTTTTTTTTTCCTACTTTGAGGAGGCAGCTCTTCCCCAGTCATATTTTGAGTGCCTTCCAACCTGAGGGGCTCATCTTCCAGCACTACATCAGACAGTGTTTCACAGCTATTCATAAAGTTTTCCAGTAATATATCAGACAGTGTTTCACTGCTTTTCGTAAGTTTTTCACTGGCCAGTTTTTTGAAAAGTGGATGGTCCCTTCCTTCTCCCCAGTCTGTCTTTGTCTGCAAGCTTCACTGAAACCTGTCCGCCAATGGTGATCCTGCTGATATTTGAGATATCAGTGGCATAGCCACCAGCCTAACAGCAATACACAAACCATCACAGTAGGATAAACTGACAGATGAGCAATTAGAGAGTGCAAATGAAAACAACATCAAGATACTGTTTTACTCCAGCACTAAGAGCAAAGCTCAAAAAAACACAAAACAGCAAATGCTATCAAGGGTGTGAAGAGACTTGAACCCTCATACACTACTGGTGGGACTATAAAATGGTATAACCACCGTGGAAAGTGTTATGATGCATCCTTAAAAAGCTAGAAATAGAAATGCCATATGATCCACCAATTCTACTTTTAGGTATATATCCTAGAAAAATAATACCCATGTTCACTACAGCACTATTCACAATAGCAAAAAGATGGAAACAACCTAAGTGCCCATCAATGGTTGAATGGATCAACAAGTATGCTACATACACACAATGGAATACTATACAACATTAAACAACAATGAATCTACGAAACATCTGATAACACAGATGAACCTAGAGGACATTATGCTAAGTGAAACTAGTCAATCACAAAAGGACAAATATTGTATGAGACTAGTATTATAAAAAGTCAAGAAAAGGTTTTCACACAACAAGAAATAGTCTTTGATGGTTATGAGGGGTGGGAGGGGAAAAGAGGGTAACCACTATCTAGAGGGTAGACTTGTATTAACTTGGGTGAAGGTGAAGGCAATATACCATTAAAGGATGATGGTAAGCACAGAATGGTCAATGAAAGGAAGACAATGGGAGGAGTACAAGAGTTAAAGGCAACAGAGACAAATATTTGTAAAAAGGGTATGGGGGCCACATTGCCTTCCTCTAACTTTTTGAGGGGGAGAGAGAATCATATCAGCATCAACAGGCCAAGGCTGATCCCTACGAAGCAGCGGTCAGACATGCCACCACCTTCCTTCCTTTTTACCAATTCTGACACCAACCATCCCCTTCATGGCACCCCCTACTTCTTTGCTGGGTTTGAGAATTTGTTGCAATGGCCACACAGACAATACCCTCAATTATGGGGTTTATTAGTGAAGTAACAGGTTACAATTCAGGTTCAGGAACACACAGTATACAATGCTTCAATCAAGACAGGCTCACCTCAATTACCTTGCAGGCACGCCTCTCTCTGGCCCTGGCCCCATGACTTGGCCTTTGCCCTGCTCAGGCAAGCGTTACAAAGCTCTTTTTGCTCTGCCGATAGATAGCCAGAGAGACACTCCACTCCACCAGCAAGCCTCCTGCCCAACGGCACTCAGCTTTCTCCTCTGTGGGCTGGGAAGCCCACACTCTGTCTCTGGTGCCAATCTCTGCTGCCAGGGTTTGTTGCTACTATTTCTCTGCTGCTGCTCTTTCTCTATTTCAGCAAAGTGTTACAGCTCTCTCCTTTACTCTCCTGTATTGAGAAGATTCAGCGAAGGGATCTCAGGTCTGAAGGATTCACTCCACTCCTGACTTCTCTCTTGATGGTAGGGTGATCCCCCACTTTCTGCCTCTGGGATGGCTCGGCTCATTTTAAGCCTAGTGAGATGGCAAAACTGAGCAATCCCCACATTAGAGCTCCTTATTTGCACGTTCCCACCCCCATCAAGAGTGCCAATACCTTATTTACATTATTGGCAAGCTAGCCAATTCCCTTGGTAGGTCACAAACACTTCAAATTTGCATAATCCCACCCAGTCATCTGGCAGAAGTCACAAAGACCATGACTAGAAGGGCCATATTAAGTAATTCCCTGCACCACAACACTCATTCACACATAATCTTGCGATAACAGTAATAATAATTAATAATCTATGAGTAGGCACAGGTGCTCTGGTAGCGTAGTGCCTAAAGCACTTGACTGCTAACCAGAAGGCTGGCGGTTCAAACCCACCAGCCACTTCTCAGAAGGAAGGTTGGGCAATCTACTTCCGTACTGATACTGCCTCAGAAATCCAAAGAGGGGTTGCTATGAGTCGGGTCCAACTCGACGGCACATAACAACAACAACAACAACAACATGAGTAGGTACACAGACAAGCAAGCTGAACAGGTGTAGGAAGGAGAATGGGACTCATCCCATGAATATACATAGGTTTGACAACTGGTATGTCTACATATGATTTACATATGCTGCAAATATATCCATGAATATAATAGAGAATGCCGGGCAGTATTTTGTTCTGTTATGCAGAGGGTCGCTATGAGTCGGGGCCATCTCAACAGCACCTGACAATAACAACAATAGAGCACACGAGGGGCGAAGTTATGAAAATTTCTTAGCCATAATCAAAAATCCTGAGGGAGTAAGTTGCTGGGCCTGGGGACACAAGACCACAGTCTCAAGGACATTAAGGTCAACTGGTACAATATAATCCACATATAAAATGTTCTACATCCTACTTTGGTTGAGTAGCAACTGTAGTCTTCAAAGCTTGCAAGTGGCATCTAAAGTACAACTATTGGTCCCTCCCTGTCAGGAGCAAAGAAGAGTGAAGAAAATCAAAGACACATGAAAACAATCAATCCATTAGATTAATGGACTACTCAAACCTTCGCCTCTGTGACCCTGAGACCAAAAAGAACTGGATGGTGCTTGGCTTCCACTACTACTACTCTGAAAGCGATCTCATTAGAAGAAGGTCCTAGATAGAGTGGGAGAAAAATGTGGAACAAAACTCAAAATCATAAAAAAGACTAGGCTTACTGGTCAGATAGAGACTGGTAGGACCCCTGAAACTACAGTTCTTGGTCATTCTTCAGACCTCAAACTGAACTCACTCCATAGTTCAATTTTCAGTCAAACAATAGACAAGTCTACAGGGTGAACAATAACTCTAGGAAGGTACACACTCCTTAGAGCAATCAGCCATTTGAGATCAAAGGGGCAGCATGTGCCCAAGGACAAAGTTCAGAAGGCAGGAAGGGTTAGGAGGGAAGGAGGAATGGAAACAAGAAACAGGGAGGATGTGGGAGGAGTGGTGTTACAGTGAGGGGATTGCAATCAAACATGAAACCAAATATGTATGAATTACTGAATGGAAAACTGATTTGCTCTGTAAACTTTCACCCAAATCACAATAAAAAGTTTGAAAAGAAAAAAGGCAAAAAGTGAAACTGGTGTTCGGCGTTTGTGTTGCAGTCAGCCATTAAAGAGGCAGTGTGCACCCGAAGCAGGGCATTCACGGCTGATACCATACTCAGTATCAGACACCATACCTTTGAATTCTGTCTATTAATACTGTATGATAGTGTTACTGTGTTTTAGGTTTTATGTGTTATTGGGTATGATTTGGTAGATTACTTTTAGGGTCTGGGAATGCTCAAATATTTTTCCCACATAAATTGATGGTAATTGCTTCTGTGCTCTATCCCATTTGAGCTGTAGAAAGGCTTCACAGGAACAGTCTATTTTTGAATAGTAGAGGAGTACTATTCAAAGTAAGGCATTTGGACCTTATCCTTTGGAAAAGGCACCATCACTGGAGGTTTTCCAGGACTGGGCAGAGAAGTGACGTGTGCTTATAGTGATGTTCTGAAGCCAGCTCACACCAGCTTGAGTGGTAAATTTACAGAAATTTTGCGAGCCAATTGATAACTTGAAATTGGCCACAGTGAGATATTTATGCCATGGATATTGGCAAACACTAACAAGCAGGGTTTTCTCTTCCTAGCAATCTGGATATTCAACATTTGCCAGCACACCATGGCATGTGCAAACCTGCATTATGGAATGGGAACTCTGGCAGGTGTCATGTGGTTCTCTACAGGAGTGTGTTTTTGTGAATACACATGAGGATCACTTGAAGAACTTTAACCAACATACATCTGCCTGCCCACCCACCTCAGCTAAGGATCACAAGATCAGGAACATTTGTTAAGAGGGTGTTGGCAGTGATGCAGGTGAGAGATAAAGGGACCGACCACAGGAGCAGAGAGGAGAGTTTGAGAGATATCTAGAAGTAGAATGCATGGACTTTATTATTTACTCTCAGAGAACTAGATGCCTTCATATTACTTCTTAGGGTCTGGGAATGCTCAAATATTTTTCCCATATAAATCGATGGTAATTGCTTCTGTGCTCTATCTCATTTGAGCTGTAGAAAGGTTTCACAGGAACAGTCTATTTTTGAATAGTAGGGGAGTACTATTCAAAGTAAGGTCGGTAATCACAGACTCATTTCTGGACTTCTTTTGTTAACATCTGAGTTCCCAAGAGGGTAAGCACTGCATCTATTTGCTTACCACTGTATCCCTGAGCTGAGCCCAGGAACTATATACAGCAAAAGCTCACTGAAGAGTTGTAAATGAAGAAAGGAAGGACAGCATGAAGAAGGAAGAGTCAAGGATGGCACTCAGGTTTCCAGTTCAGATAAATGAAAGGAGAAATATGGAAAAAAGATGTATACTTGGGGATGATGAGGGGAAGATGTGGGAAATGTTGACCTGTAGGACCTCTAAACATTGAGGCAGTGATATCTAGCTGGTAGGTGGAAACATAAGTCTCTTTAGGACAAATCCTCTTGACTATAAGATGCAACCCAGCCCTCTTCCTTTAGAGTTTGAATAGTCACAGAGGGAGTGTCAACTTCCCTTTCTCAAGACTCACCCGAACCTCAGCCTCCCGGGGCCTCCCGTTGAGGTCGCACTTGGACCCATTCCCATAGGTTTGGCTGTGGTAGCGCTTCAGGCGATGCTGCTTGGAGGCCTGGGGAGGAAAGCAGGCAGAAGAGAAGGATGATGAGAAATACAGCAAGGGGAAAGAATGGCACTGAGTCCCCACAGGGTTCTTAGAGACCTTGGGAATCCAGGCCTCAGGAGCCTTTGTCCTTTGGCCACCAAGCCCCAAAAACATGCCAGCCAATCTTAAGCCTGGGCTCTCAGGCTATAGCCAAGACCCCCTTCCCTCCCAACCCCACACTTCTACCACCTTGGCTGTTTCATCGTCCCAGTCGAAGGCCGATTGGTAGTAGCCAAGGTAGAGGACTTCGCCTTTGATCTCTGAATCTGCAAGAGTAATTGCAGTGGAGCACCATTACTCCCTTTTGAGAGAACTGGGGAGGGAGGGGGACTGAGGAGTCAGGTCACCTCCCATGACATGTGGCTGAGGGCTTAGGGACAATGTAGGAGGGAGTCACCTTCCATGTGGTACTGCTGGATGTGGCGTCCATAACAGAATTCATATGTCCACCAGTCCTTGGTCTAACAATAAAAAAATGGGCAATCAGGGAGATAGAGTGGGGATGTATCTCCTGGAAACCAGAATCTCTCTTGGTTCCAAGACACACAACTTTTCATCTATTTCTCCTCTCTAGCCAGATCCACACACAGTTCTCCAGACTCTCAGTGAGGAGAGAGCAACACTTTCCTTCTATGACTTGGGGTGATACCTCAGAAGTCTGTTTTCCACCTGTGGTCTTTCATATATCTGTACCTAATCTCTATCCGTATCTATCTATCTATCTATCTATCCTTCTTTGCCCACGATGAAGAAATCATGGTATCCTATCTATCCTTCTTTGCCCATGATGAAGAAATCATGGTATCCTTGAAGCACCCAGGCCAGGGAAACATAGAAGACTCCAACCTCAAATATTAATCAAGCATCTACAACATTACTTGCACTGTCCAAGACATTGAAGGTACAGCTGTGAGGAAGATAAATTCCCTGACCTCATGAAACTTATATTCTAGTGCAGAGAATCAGATAAAAAAATAAGTAAATATAAAACAAATGGATAAATCCCTTAACAGGAAGATTTCAAAAAAAAAGTGCTAGGGTGGAAATAAAATAGGATAGAGGGACATAATGATAGGGGCCTTCCTGGTAAACCCTAGCAAAGGGTTTTATCAGGAAGGCTTCTATAAGAAGGTGTCCCTCCTACCCCACCCTGCCCCTGGTTAGCCACCTCAATCTTTGTCTAACCCTTATTCTGAGATCCCCTATCCCAACCCTCCTGTACCTTTGGCAGAGCCACATAAGTGGCTGCAGGATTCTTTGCTCTTTTTCCTGTCTATATAATACATCTACTCCTCCAGTGGCTTTCTTAACTCCTACAAGTCTTCTAGATCCCTCTCATTTACGAGCACTCTGGTTCTCACATGGACTGCCTGTTCCATCCATCTCATTCCCTTTTACCTTCAGCAGGCAGGGAGCGTCTTTCATGGGGCTCAACAACTCAGGGACTCCAGGCCCTTGGTAAGCAGGTGCCTCCTCCTCTCTTTCACGCTGGAAGTGAATGGCTCCAGCTGGCAAGCGACACTCATAGCGCTGTTTGTACTTAGAGGAGACAATCACCACGTCTGAAGCCTGACTCTGCGGAAGAAGGGGGTGGGGGTCGGGAGGAGGCAGGCAAAGAAAGGCTGGGATCAGGAAGAACAACGAGTTCCCTCTTCAGACCCTCGGGAAGAGCCCAGTTGGAGATGGAATGAACCACAAGTCCCCCAGCTGTGCTCGGTGGGTGAGGGAAGAGAATATTCCCACTTCGCCACTGGGGCGGAGTCAGCGTTCTTCAACAGGAACTGGGACCTGGAGGTTGACAGAGAAAAGCTCCACCCTCCCAACCTCCCAGCCTCTGGCCCCAAGGGAATGGAGCTCAGTCTGTGATCCCCAGGAATCACCGTAACCCCCCATCTACTCTTCTCAACTCTCCTTAGGCTTCTACCCCAGACTCCGCACCTGCCCTTCTCTACGCTTTTCCCTTTCCTCTTCTATCCGGGATCCTCGCCCTCCCCATGCCTCCTTACCTGCCCTCCCATGACAGGTAAAGGCAGGATCTCGATCCCATAACGCATCTCACTCAGCTCCTCCAAGTTCAGGCTTCCGACACCGCCGGTCAGACGTGCGGGTAACAGGAGCGCCAGAAGCAGCAGCCCCAACAGACTAGACAGCAGCGTTTCCGCCGCCATCTTTCGTTCCCCTACTTATCCAGTGCAACTCTTTCCGCCCTAAACCTGGCAGCGGCTTCACCACGGCCATTAACGACACAAGGTTTCATTGGGTATATGCGCTGTCCCTCTTACGTACCCTACTCCCATTTGTAAACGTGGCTCCAAAGCTCAAGGGGAGGTGGATCACGACAAGTAGCTGCACGTGATTGGTCAGAGAGGCGCCAACCAATCATTGACGAGATCAGGCTCCCTCCCACATTCTCTTCCTTCTAAAGAAACGTGGTCTTCGTGCAAGGTGTTTTTAAGCAGTTTCCCTTTGCTCTCGCCTGTCAATGCATCTCTTCTAAATACTTTGTTAAACGTCTCCTGCATTGTATTCGGCCCCAGCAGGGCAGAGGATCTAGGCCGAAGGGCGGGTGGGCGCAAGGCCCTTTGAAGTTACTTAACAGTTGTTGCACAACAATTATTGTACAGATTTTGTTGTTTTTGTTAGTTGCCATCCAGTCGGCTCCTACCTATGGGGGGACCTTTTGGATAACAGAACAAAACGTCCCTGGTCCTGCTTCATCTTCCTGAGGAGTCCGTTCATGTCTGAGTGCGTTGTTGGGGCTATCGTCTAGTACCTTCCAACGTGGAGGGCTCATCTTCCAGCACTGTATTGGACAATATTCAGTTGTGATCCATAAGGTTTTCATTGCCTAATTTTCTGGCAGTAGATCACGATCCTTTCTTCCTACTCTTGTCTGGAAGCTCTGGCGAAACCTGTCCACCATAGGTGACCCCGCTGGTATTTGAAATACCAGTGGCATAGCTTCCAGCATCGTAACAACAGGAAAGCCACCATAGTACAATAAACTGGCAGACACCTTGTCATATTGTACAGAAACACACTTATTTTCATATATACATATAAGTTTAAGACAATCTGGTAATTTGTGTCAAACAAAGACAAAGAGAAAAGGGAAGGAGACAAAACTCATAACATTTGGGAAGCTGGAAAGCAAGTGAAGAAATGATAATTGGTTTAGCAGACTTGAGAAAGTTGATTCCCCAACTGAGGTAAACAAGACCATGATTATACCTCCAGGTCAGATGTTGAAATCCTCTGGGGAATCTGACCAGCCTAAGAGAAAATTGCCAAAGATACTCTCATCGGGGTTCTGTCAATGAAATAACTGAACCAATCCTACAATTAAGCCTTTGGCCTGCATCCCCATCCCATACACAGATTTCTTTCTTTAAATTGTGATTTGGGTGAGACTTTACAGAGCAAATTAATTTTCCATTCAACAATTCTGTACATGGACTTTTCAATTAATCTTTAAATGTTCTCATTCTTAGACGTAAGTGTTAGGCCAAAGCAAACCCAAGCCACCAACATTCCAGTTAGCAGCTTCCTCGGTGTCAAGCCCTGATGAGACAGCCTAATAAGACAACCGAGGTGAAAAAACCCGCCCAGACTGGAAAGTCCCATGCAGTGGCAATCTTCCTCTTGTGAAGCCTCCTCATGCTAATTAAGTACAGACCCATGCTAACAGCTAATTGGACCCCAGCATTTCCTTAGTGTCCCCACTTAGGTCCTCCACAAGACTATAAACCCTCCCCTCCCCAGCCAGG